TATATATATATATATATATATATGAGTATACATATATTTTTTTTATCTGTCTTTGTTCTGTGATATTTGAAAGATGGTTATTCACCAAAAGAACAAAGTTCTTTTTTTTACGGTTTTATTCGCAAGAAAAACCGTAACTTTTTTTCTTTTTTTCAAAACAATTTTTTTTCCAGTCATTTATCCATCAGTAATAACTCAGCCAGCGTATTTCGTGTACTGTTCCGATACGTAAATTTCATGATTTACAACCTTTAACTACCAAAATGATAGAAGAGTGGTGGTGCTGATGATGCTGAGAAGAAAGAAATAAGATGGTAAGGAGAGGAGTGAAACAGATGAAAGCAAGGAGTGTCTGGGGAACAAAGTGAAATTGAGAGAAGATGAAACAGATGAAGAGAGTCGAAGAAGAGGGAGAAATGGTTTCTTTTTTTGGTGTCAAAAATGATATCTAATTCAGTGGGTACTTTTGAGCAGTATGATTGTCGTCAAAAAAAACTCTGACCGACGATCAATGATAATGCATAATAATAGCAATAATTTTTCGGGTTTTTTTTTCTGTTGTAATTCTTAAACAATATTTACCGTAATCGCAATTTAACTGTTTAATTATAAGCAAAAGTATAACAAACATACAGTTATTTTTCCCTTTCTTCATCTTTTTTATTTTTTAAAACCTTTCTCATATGTTATGTATGTATAATAAATGAATAAATTTCTTTTTAGAGACGCTTCATTTGATAGTTTAATGAAAGAAATTGAGCGTTGGTAAACAACAGTTGAAAGGAGAAAAAAAAAAGAGACAGAAAAGTGGCAAACGAATCTGAGAACATCGAACTGTTATCTGAATTACCAAACCAAACAACTAAATTGCATTAAATATTTTAACTTCACATTAACAAACTGAAATGTTGACAAAAAAAACTGTTTGGCATTGAAATATAATGTCTTTTAATTTATTGAAGCGAAGAAAAAAAAAACAAACTGAAAACAAGCGAAAAAAAAAGGAAAAAAACAGAAGATAATGTTATAATTTATCATTAATTCAGAAAAAATGAATAAAAAGTTCGGAATAACTTATATAAATTTCTGTTTTAACATCTTTTACAGACACATTCATTGT